CATGTCATGTGTGTTTTTAGAGAAGGCTAATAAAAGGCTAATAAACAAGTTTATGGCTCTCTGTAAGCTCTCCTGCGTGCTGTCGCCTCATGTCTGACCTGGAAAACTGCCCCAATCATGATGCTATTGTTCTCAATCGACGAACCTTTCACACCTCCACCAGGTATGAGACATAATCCTCATTATTCCTTTATCATTATTCTTTTGTTTTATTCAGCCATTATAGCCTTTAATCTATATTGGGATCGAAGCAATGTGGCTTGGTAAACCTTAAGCCACATCTCTTCGATCCCAATATACATTTAGAAAGACTATTATCAAAAGTATTTCTAAAAAAAATACAACAAAATATTTTATTGCGTCCTTACGTCAATTATTTTGAGAAAATACATCATGAAGCATAACTGCACCTGTTCTGCAGCTGCATTAGAGCTAACATTAGCATCAAGCTACATAAGACAATTTATGACATTAATAATACACTTTTACTCAAAATGTATTTTAAACCACCATCAAGTGTTTGTAATAACCCCCTTTTGCGATCTCATGTGGAATTTGGTCATTTATGTTGTTGAAATATATGTATAGCCTTTTATATTGCTGCACAAATTAGCATTTCAAATGTACACATTCTTAATTATGAAAATACCCGAAATCTCAAGAAAATCACAACCATACACTATCATAAGAGATCAACGGGATCTATGCTGGCCATCTCCTTGGGTTTGGAATGCTCCGCCCCCTTACCCATGGAAACTGGCAACTGATCTGCAATACCCGCTTCACTCACCTCCGACAAAACTCCCTGCTCCACCAAATGCTTATAGATCACATCCTTGATTTCTCACTTTACTGCACCACGAGGAACTGTAATTTGATATAAATCCGCAACTGAAAACAGATCATCTTTGTGACAAATATCCAATTGTTCAGTAGTAGGCTGAATTGCGAAATTTTCCAGCTCAAATTTTGAGGACATATCGAATTCCCTCCCCCTTAAAGTGAAAACCACTAGCCAAACAAAAATATACAAAGCAAATTTCATGAGTTTTTATTTCAGTAACACGCAATGGTGAAACTCTAATTGTTTTTTGTGGAAAAAACTCTTTTAGGACAAGCCCCCGATTTCTGTTATGACCACTAGGGGTCAGCCGTAACATGAAAAAGGAAGAGAGCCTCAATACCAGAGAGATGCTGAACAACAATAATTTATTGACAAATAAGGGTTTAGCGTCAGGGGCAGACAAGGCCAAAATAACAAACAAAAATTATCCTTTTTATTAACACTCTACACTTCCTAAATCAAAATTAAAGAAAACAAACATACAGTTTCAACTTACCTGCCTCCCTAAACCAAAAACAACGTGACAAGAGGTTTAAAAAAAAATGGCGTCTAACCCCCTACATCCCTCAATTTGCCAAAACTTATTTACAACAATTACAAAAGATATATACACAAGTTAACAGCCAACAATTCACATTCAGAATCCAAAATCGTAGTCAATCAGGCATGGGTCAAGTTAACAAGGAATATCACAGAATGGAAACAAAAACATCACAGAATTTCAATCACAATCAAACACCCACAGACTATCTCTCTGGTAAGACACTCAAAGACTTAAGCGAACGACGGCAAGGCACAAAGGCAAACTACAGAATCACACACGATGGCACAATCATGTCCCCGATTGAGTGTTTGGGGCAGTCCTTATATCTGGGTCAGGTATGGAGGAGAACCAATCGCAGCCTCTAACGAATTATCTCAAGGAACCGCCCATCTGAAACACAAACATACACATACACAGAGAAAACACAAGAGGGCAGAATGGAAACAATGAGCAAATGACTTAGGTTCATAACAATTACACTACTGATAACAGTCCTGTTAGCATGTAATCATGTTTAAAATAATTTCACGAGGGTGGTCATGATCCGGAAGTTCTGAAAGAGCTCCGAACCACTACTGACCTCGCGAGCTCCAAGCAACGAAGATCGCTCTCATAACATCACAGCACATATTAATCTATTAATATTGCTAAGCAGTGTTCTAATCAATATTAGTAAATGTATATATCTATATCAGATTACACTTTTAAATAGGGGGAGTTCGGGGCTAGTTATTACATTGGAAAGTTTTTACAAGGACTAAATCTCAATAATGGCCCAGTCGTGTAGGTTCACAGTTTACAACATCAGAGAAATCAGACCCTTCCTGTTAGAATCTGTGGCACAGCTACCAGTTGGGGCCAGAATTTAATTTAAGGTTTTGATGCTGGCTTTCAGGATTACCACTGGAACTGCTCCTCCCTTACTACTTACTTCCACCAGCTCAGGTCACTCAAAGAGCAATCCTTCACAACGTGAAAGTCGCTCTCCAAAATATTTACCTTCTCGTTTCCTCTGTGGTGAAATGAGCTGCCAATCTTCACCCGAACTGCTGAGACCATCACAACTTTTAAGAAGCAGCTGAAGAAACATTTTTTCTGCAAGCACTTTTACAACAACTTAACCACCCCTCTTCCTCTTTTGTAAGTCACTTTGGATAGAGGCATCTGCTAAATGCACAAGTGTAAATCTCAATAACTAATCGACAGTGGTTTGTGTTCAAAATGGTCTTCAAGTCAAATAAAAACCTTTTATTTTTTGATAAATACAATGTAAATACAATGTTTTAACGTGAACAGTAAATCCACTGTGTGTGTGTGGCCATAACAGTGGATTGATGCTTATGTATGCTAGCTTTTACATGTTTATTTATATTTGTTGTCTACCATCATAAATATATATATGATATTTTGCTGAAAAGTCTCCACAACAAACATATTTTCAGTTTATGGGATCTTTTTTCCAGGGTGTTACGACCGCTAGGGGTCAGCCGTAACAGGAAAAAGGAAGAGAGCCTCAATACCAGAGAGATGCTGAACAACAATAATTTATTGACAAATAAGGGTTTAGCGTCAGGGGCAGACAAGGCCAAAATAACAAACAAAAATTATCCTTTTTATTAACACTCTACACTTCCTAAATCAAAATTAAAGAAAACAAACATACAGTTTCAACTTACCTGCCTCCCTAAACCAAAAACAACGTGACAAGAGGTTTAAAAAAAAATGGCGTCTAACCCCCTACATCCCTCAATTTGCCAAAACTTATTTACAACAATTACAAAAGATATATACACAAGTTAACAGCCAACAATTCACATTCAGAATCCAAAATCGTAGTCAATCAGGCATGGGTCAAGTTAACAAGGAATATCACAGAATGGAAACAAAAACATCACAGAATTTCAATCACAATCAAACACCCACAGACTATCTCTCTGGTAAGACACTCAAAGACTTAAGCGAACGACGGCAAGGCACAAAGGCAAACTACAGAATCACACACGATGGCACAATCATGTCCCCGATTGAGTGTTTGGGGCAGTCCTTATATCTGGGTCAGGTATGGAGGAGAACCAATCGCAGCCTCTAACGAATTATCTCAAGGAACCGCCCATCTGAAACACAAACATACACATACACAGAGAAAACACAAGAGGGCAGAATGGAAACAATGAGCAAATGACTTAGGTTCATAACAATTACACTACTGATAACAGTCCTGTTAGCATGTAATCATGTTTAAAATAATTTCACGAGGGTGGTCATGATCCGGAAGTTCTGAAAGAGCTCCGAACCACTACTGACCTCGCGAGCTCCAAGCAACGAAGGTCACCGCGAGTTCTCTGGGTCATGCAATGTCCACGCTTGTGGTCCAGGAGCGCCATCTCTGGGTGTGTCTGGTTGATATGAGGGACACCGATAAAGTTCGGTTCCTTAATGCCCTTGTGTCCCAGACCGGCCTCTTCGGCGACGCGGTCGAGAGCTACACAGAAGCAGACTGAGGTGGGTCATCACACCCTGCCCCGTCGGGCAGCTGCTGCCTCCACTCGTCCACCGGCCGCAGCGCCCCAGCTTGCTCGTCGCCAAGGGCGGCCCTCTGCGTCCGCCCCTGCTCCCACGCCGCATCCACATCAGCCTCCAGCAAGCGGCGCCATGGAACTGGGCGTAGGCAGGCTGCCCCACCCATCCAGGCCCCCGTCAAACCTGGCGGTGAGCGAAAGAGCAAGAGGCCCCGGGACGGGTAACCCAGAGAGGGAGGAAGCTGCTCTTTGGGGGATCGTGAAGGCACCTCTAGAGCAAGAGGCCCCGGGACGGGTAACCCAGAGAGGGAGGAAGCTGCTCTTTGGGGGATGGTGAAGGCACCTCTCCCTCCCCCGGAAGAGGGTCGGGTGGAGAATCTGGAAAATCTCGACGAGAGAGCGGTTTTCTCTGTCCCTGGGTCCCAGGAGGGCACGGAGAGTTGCGGTCGGACCAGCACCGGACCACATTCATCCTCCTCCATCGCCAGCAGCGGGTGGTTCGAGAGCATCAACAAAGGCCCTACTCACGTGCCCTCTGCCAAACTGTGGAACCAGGTAAGCGTTGCATCTCTTCGATCCGCTCACAAGCCGCCCGAGTTTGGTCCCTGTGTTCTACCTTGCTGCCCCACTGCGGGTACGGTGGTGGTTCCGCTGGTCCCGCTTGCACGGTATCTGGCTGCCTGGCTAGCGCTACCCAACCCATCTCATTGGCTTCTGCGGACCATCAGCCTCGGCTATGCAAATCAGTTCACCCAGCATCCCCCCAAGTTCAGTGGCATCCGCTTCACGACAGTGAAGGCGGCTGATGCTCCTGTCTTGCATGCAGAGATCGCAGTCCTTCTGGCGAAGGATGCAATAAAGCCGGTCCCTTCAGCCGATATGAATACAGGGTTTTATAGGTCTTACTTCATTGTACCCGAGAAAGGCGGTGGATTACGACCAATCTTGGATCTGTGTGTCTTGAACCAGGCCCTTCGCCGGTTACCGTTCAAAATGTTGACGTAGAAACACATCTTCGGGTGCATCTGTCCTTGAGATTGGTTTGCAGCAATCGACCTGAAGGATGCATACTTTCATGTGTCGATCCTTCCATGACGCAGACCATTTCTGCTGTTCGCGCTCGAAGGACGAGCATATCAGTATGAGGTCCTGCCCTCCGGGCTGTCCCTGTCGCCCCGTGTCTTCACGTAACTTGCGAAGGCAGCTCTTGTTCCCCTGAGAGAACAGGGCATTCACATTCCCAACTACCTCAATGACTGGCTCATACTAGCTCAGTCTCAGCATCAGTTGTGTGCACACTTTCGCACCTCAGCCGGTTGGGCCTTCAGGTCAACTGGGAAAAGAGCAAACTCTCCCTGACGCAGAGGATCTCTTTTCTCGGTATGGAGTTGGATTCGGTCGAACAGACAGCACGCCTCACAGAGGAACGTGCGCAGTCAGTGCTGAACTACTTGAATTTGTTCAAGGGCAGGACAGCGGTCCCACTGAAACTATTTCAGAGGCTCGCTGGGGCTGCTTTATATGAGACCGCTCCTCCGGGCAGGAGTGCCCCTAGAACAGGTCTCCAGGCATGCTGTTTACACGGATGCCTCTACCACCGGCTGGGGGGGCCACATACAATGGGTACGCAGTGTCGGGGGTATGGTCGGGCCACCAACTGCACTGGCATATAAATTGCCCAGAGTTGTTAGCAGTGCGCCTTGCCTTGAACCATCTCAAAGGGTGCTTCGTGGCAAGCACGTGCTGGTCTGAATGGACAACACGGCGACCGTTGCTTACATCAACCGACAAGGTGGTCTGCGCTCCCGTCGCATGTCACAACTCACCCACCACCTCCTCATTTGGAGTCAGAAGGTTCTGAGGTCACTTCGTGCCATTCACATGCTGGGTCTGCTCAACCGTACGGCCGACGAGGGGTCACAAGCCACGCTCCTGGGAGAATGGAGACTCCATGCACAGACAGTCCAGCTGTTTTGGAGACGTTTCGGAGCGGCTCAGGTAGACCTGTTTGCCTCTCCAGAAACCTCTCACTGCCAGATGTTCTACTCCCTGACTGAGGGAACAGTGGCACACAGCTGGCCGCAGGGCCTGCGCAAGTATGCGTTTCCCCCAGTGAGCCTTCTCGCACAGACACTGTACAAGGTCAGGGAGGACGAGGAGCAGGTCCAGATTGTGGCACCATATTGGCCCACTCGGACCTGGTTCCCCGAACTAATGCTCCTCGTGACAGCCCCTCCCTGGCAGATTCCCCTGAGGAAGGATCTACTGACTCAGAGACGGGGCACCCTGTGGCACCCGTGTTCAGACCTCTGGAAACTTCATGTCTGGTCCCTGGACGGGATGCGGAGGTTCTTGGTGACCTACCCCAAGAGGTAGTTGACACCATCACTTCGGCGAGAGCACCGTCTACGAGACACGTTTACGCCTTGAAGTGGAACCTGTTAGTTGAGTGGTGTTCTTCTCATCGGGAAGACACCCGGAGATAACCAATCGGGGTTGTGCTTTCCTTTTTGCAGCAAGGGTTGGAGCGAAGGCTGTTTCTCTCCACCTTTAAAGTCTATGTTGCTGCGATTGCTGCTAACCTTGACCCCGTGGAAGGGAAGTCGGTAGGGAAGCATGATCTGGTCATCAGGTTCCTTAGGGGGGCGAGAAGGTTAAATCCTCCCATGCCCTCCTCTATACCTCTTGGGACCTGTATCTAGTGCTCAAAGCACTACAGCAGGGCCCATATGAGCCTTTGCAGTCAGTCGAGCTAAAGTTTCTTTCAATGAAAACTCTGCTCCTGCTTGCATTGGCCTCCATCAAGAGGGTAGGGGACCAGCACGCATTTTCGGTCGATGACTCGTGCCTAGAGTTTGGGCCGGCTGACTCCCAGGTAATCCTGAGGCCCCAGCCTGGCTATGTGCCCAAGGTTCCCACTAACCCTTCAGGGATCAGGTGGTGAGCCTGCAAGCGCTGCCCCCAGAGGAGGCAAACCCAGCCCTAGCTTTGCTCTGTCCCGTCCGAGCCTTGAGATGCTACGTAGACCGGACACAAAGCTTTAGGACCTCAGACCAGCTCTTTGTCTGATACGGAGGCCGGCAGAAGGGGAATGCCGTCTCTAAGCAGAGGATGGCCAACTGGATTGTGGATGCCATCACCCTGGCTTATCAGGCACAGGCTGTGCCCTGTCCACTCAGGTTGCGAGCTTACTTTACTAGGAGTGTTGCATCCTCCTGGGCGCTGGCTCGTGGTGCCTCGCTGACAGATATTTGTAGAGCTGCGGGCTGGGCGACACCCAACATGTTCGCTAGATTCTATAGCCTTCGTGTGGAGCCGGTATCCTCCTGTGTTCTCACCTCTAACGGGTAGAGGCGCTGAGAGGCCCCAGTTTAGTGTCGACTTGCTAAAACTGCTCCAGAGTGTCTGTACTGTAGGCCCTGTCGAGCCTCTCCATCCCCTCGGCAGCCAGACGTGGCGGAACGTCCGGCGCCAGGCCCTCACTCGCTGAATCCGTGAGAACCAGTAGAGGGCTGGGTTCCATATGTAGAGGCCTAAGTGGTTCCCATATATGTAAAGTCCACGGTATAGACTCAGAGCCCATGTTTCCCCGACAGACTTCTGCCATTTCCATGATATACAATCACCTCTAATCTTCCATATGCACTTAAACGGATCATCCAAAATATCTTAAATTGTGTTCCAAAAACGAACAAAGCTTTTACAGGTTTGGAACGACATGGGGGTAAGTGATTAATGACAAAATTTTCATTTTGGGTTGGCGTACCCCTTTAATAACACATTGGTAAAATCAAAAGTTACAACTGTGTTATTCAATGAGCTAACATGAACTGAGTTGCAGCCTATTTTTTTTTTTTACAAAGATTACTAACTTCTGTATCAAATATAGCTATTGCTCATTCAGAATGTCAACTAACATTCTGGGGCAGTCATGGCCTGATGGATAGAGAGTCGGACTTACATCCCAAAGGTTGTGGGTTTGAGTCTCAGGTCTGGCAGGGATTGTAGGTGGAGGGAGTGAATATCCAGCACCCTCTCCACCCTCAATAGAGAGCCTTGAGCAAGGCACCAAACCCCCAACTGCTCCCTGAGTGCTACTGCTCTGTGTGTGTGTGTTCACTACTCACTGATGTGTGTGTGGACTTGGATGGGTTAAATGAAGAGCACAAATTCCAAGTATGGGATGTCATGTTCTTTCCTTTTTTTCCCTTTCCTAATGAGATCTTATTATAAAGCAATACCTGTTGGTCTTTATAATTTTTTGCACTTTAATCGATGTAAAATGTTTAACTTTATAAATGTTTTGTGTATTGCTTTGTTGTATTTAAATGTTCAGTAATTTTATTATAAGAAAAAAGTTATTAAACCTGTTATACTGTATTATGACCACTTTTTTGCAACTAAATTTCAACATCGTGATAATACTGTATACCGTGATAAGAGCAATAGCAATTAATCGCAACATGAAAATCTGATACTGGCCTATCCCTAGTTACAAAAGTATGTTTTTTTATTTGTTATTATCATATTAGTATTATATTAAGTGAACAATGAAGTGTTGCTATGTTGAGAGAAATTACTCCTTTACTGAGATC